GCTGTTGCTGGTTGTTGTTGTCCTCTCCCTCCTGCTGCTGTTGTTTCCGCTGCTGCTGCTGCTGCTGCTGTTGCTGTTGCTGCTGTTGCGCGGGTACTTTCTTTGCTTCATTATGCATTAGTCTGATTTGTTGTTTTATCTGTTGCAGTCTATCCGTGATGTTTTGTGCTGCTCTATCTAATACTTGTTTTCCTTCTTTGTTTAGAGCCTCACCTGGGGCGTGGAGAGACAGCAGAGCGCTCCAGCATACTGCGCTTTCTCTTTCTATTGCTGCTTCATTTGTTGCTGCTTCTGTTGCTGCTTGCTGCATCTCTATAATATCTATACTCTCTTTCAAAGCCCTCACAAACCACCGGTGTTCATCTAGCTGGTGAGATATCTCTGTCACCATATCATCTGCTCTTGTTAGTGTTTCTGCTGCAGCAGCAAGCTTCAGTTCTTCTCTCTCCTGCTGCTCTCTTTGCTGCTGCGCTTGCTGCATCATCTCTTTCTGTCTCTGCTCTTCTGTATCCTCCTCCTCTTTCTCTTTCTCTTTCTCTTTCTCTTTCTCTTCCTCCTGCTGCTGCTGCTGCTGCTGCTGCTGTTGTTGCTGCTGCTGTTGCTGTTTCTCCTGCTGCAGCTGCTGCTGTTTCGTCTCCATTTCTGTACGCAGCAACGCTGCATACGCGCNTGCTGTTTCTCCTGCTGCAGCTGCTGCTGTTTCGTCTCCATTTCTGTACGCAGCAACGCTGCATACGCGCGTATAAGGTCTAGGTCTCCCTCTGCATATGCAGCAAAAGCTTGTCTATCGGCCCCCAGCATCCCTTTGAAGGATTCGGATAGATTATGTTTTGTTTCTCTTCCTGTTATACGAGTCTTAGCCCACGCTACACTTGTTCTGCGCATGCATTGGAGGTTTGCTGCTGCTGCATGCAACAGAGCAGCAGCACTATCTGCATCTGCTGCACGCAACAAAGGCTGTTGCTGCTGCAGCCGTGCATGCGCAGCACGAGAGCGAGCAGCAAGCATGTTTAAACTGTATTGAGCTGACCTTATAGTCACCATGAAGGGCTCTATAGTACCCCGAACCTGCTGCGACGCAGCAGCTCTTTCTAGTACTCTTATCTCTGATGCATCTATAAGCACTTCTGCTGGTATACGATCGAGTGTTTTTTGTAAACTATCTGCCTCAGATATTGCTGTTGCATGCAGCGCATTCACTGCAGCAAAAGCCTCATCAAGTAACTCAGAAAAAGATGAATCTGCAACAGCTCTTTCTATCGCCGTCACCGTCGTGCTGCGACGAAGACGATGCACAGCTTCCTGTGCAGCTGCTGTACCTACAACTGTAGCCAACTCCTCTGCCTCAGGTATACTCTGACGGAGAGCAGTCAGACGCCATCGAGCTTTCTCAACAGCATCTCGCTGCGCTGGTGGTTCTGCTGCTGCTGCAAGGGTTTCTTCTGCTTGTTCAGGGGGCGGTGCTGTTGGTGATGCTGGTGGTGATGGTCTGTATTCCTCCTTCTTTCTTCCTATGCCTCGAAACAAGCCGTCTGGTGATGCAGAACGAGCAGCAATAACCGAGAGCAGCAACAAACCAAGAAATGCTGTTGCAGAAACTTTCAACAACCTGTGTACAGAACGCCGCCTCTTTTGATGGGGACCTTCTGGTGGGGGGAGCTCAGCAGCATCTGCTGATGAGAGAGGAACTGCTGCTGCTGCTTCTGGTTCTGCTGGTGTCAGTGATGCTGGTGGTGCTGGGATTGCTTCCGCGGTCAGCTCCAGCTCCGATAGAGAAGCATCATCTGCAAAGTCATGATGAAGACGGAAAAAGTCTGTATTCATGTCGGCAGCAGTGTGAGTAAAACTGTCTGTTATGGAATGCCAGTTCACTGCAGCGCCTGCATCCATCTGTTTCATGCAGTGTACATACACCGCGTTGAGCGTGCAGAGTAGAAAGCTCAAGGAAAAGAGAGTCAATCCTCTTCTCCCTTTCCTTCTCCCCCGCATCATAATATGAAAAAAAAACAAAAAAGAGAAAATTAAACAATTATATTTATTCAATTATCTACATTGCAGCCATAGTCAGCCTCAAGAGGCCGTAAACCTCCACCGCAGGTTTCGCACTGATCCTCCCTTCACGTCTCTCCTTTTGGTTGTCCATACATTTGAATGTATTTCGGACTGTTTTATAATTATAATATAACAATTCTTTTCTCTTTTTTAATGCATGCAAGAAACAAGAAACTGCAGCCAATGCGTCGTGAGCATAGCACGCCAATCGAAGCCCTCAGCCCCATCCAGGGGGACTTCGTTCATATACATTTCCCTTTTAATCGTCGATAATATTTTTTGAAATAATGCAGCAAATATTAAAAATTAGTTTAATTACTTACATCTGAAAATATAGATTTATCAGGGAACCCGTTGCCGCAAGGAAAGTTATTTCATGCATCGAACCTCTATGCGTATATACACGAACTTGGGGTGTACATACACCCCAAGTACGACGGATGTAATGAATTTCTTTGTAGCAATGGGTTCTATGGTGACCAAATGAAGTATCTTTATACTACAACTTTGCACCAAAAACAAAAAAATGGTTCAGAGCGTAAACAACAAAAATACGAATGAGATAGGAAGCAGCCCCTGCTGTATAGACACGCTTCGTGTTGTCTCTGTTGTTGATTATTAATATTGCATGTTTTCTTG